CTGTTAAAACCTAACGCCTTGAGCTCCATCTGTGTTTCAAGTGTCCCTGCTGGAGGAGCAGAGGGAAGAACAAACACAAGCAGAGAACAGGATTTTCCTTGCCTTATCCCCAACCAAGTATGTTTGTTTAACAAGATGGGTGGAACCGAAGCCATGCATGGGTGAAGCTAAAAGGAGGCGATGTATGTGCCGTGCTGCTTCACACTAGCACATTTGCACAAGCACATTTCCTTGCAGGACAAAAAAACTAATGGAGTACACACAGCTTGCCCAGCTCAACACCTAATTTCTTCTGAAAAAATCATTGCTTGCCGTCGAGGCCTTCAATTTTAGCCTTTTTCCCCCCTCACTATTTCACTTCTTCCTGCTCTCAGTATCCCAGGCAGTGGGTTACCCTCCTCGTGTCACACGCCACCTTTTAAAAGGGATGGTATGGGGTGGGGACGGCTCCGTGCCAGCACCCGGAGGGAACGCCCCAGCCTCGGCGCGATGCCTCAGCCCACGGAGAGGGCGAACACGTCTGCTGCCCGTCCCCTGCCAATCCACGAGTCCACCCCTTGCACAACCTCAGTCTAAAAATGGGCTGAGCTGATAGATTGCTTTGCACGGCATCAATACAACTAATGTCAGCAGTGAGGTAATTCTGCAGGAATTCAGCCCTGCACGAAGCCTCCTTGGCACCCCTCTGCTTTCTGGGAGCAGATCTTTGGACAGCAGCAGATACCTAAGTCAGCCTTGCTGGAGCAAAGGCAGGAAAACATGTTCTGCACCCCTTGCCAAGAGCAGACCAGACATTATTTGCAGTAAGGGGGAGATGCCTCTGGTGTCCCTGGATCACAGCACTGCTCTTCAGAGCATCTTAAGCTATTTAAGAGCTTTGAGAGCACCGAACCTAAGCCATGCCCAGCAGACTTCAGGTAAAGGGGCTGCTACACTAACCCAAGATGGGTGTGCTACACCTGGAGTGACTCTCCTAGAACAATTTGTGAGTATAGGGGTGATGTCCAGAGCAGACAGCATTGCTTCACCATGTCCCTAGAATGCTCCATCGCCACCTGCACGTGCCTCCGCAGCACGTCCCAGCCTGCTGCTGAGCAGCCTGGCTCCCAGCAGCAGCACCACGCACGGCTGCGCAGGCACACGTGCACCCAGAGACCAGAAAACCAGGGCTAGAGTGGATGGAGAGTTTGGAAACACGTCCTCGGTGAGTAAACACTCCTTTCCTTGAAACAAAACCGAACCTAAAACAACAACAAAACAATTTATTCACACTCTTTGGAAGATGCTAATTAAAGTTTACTTTAAAATACTAGCAGACACGAGTGTGGGCTGTAACAGGAACATGCTGTGAAGTGACAGGTCTGCAATAATCCCATGCCTCAGCCAAGTCTAATTCATTCCGATCACACACAGGTCCGAAAATCCAGGGAGGCTCTCGGAGCAGGAGCATGTGCACTTGTGGGAGGTGCAAGAAGTGGCTCCGGAGCTCCGGAGGTGCGATAGCGAGAACAGGTGTGAGAGCAAGGGTTAATAAACGGGGGGTGCCAAGGAGCCCAGCTCTGCAGAAAGCAGAAGGAAAGCTCTCCCCGCCCCGGTGCAGCAGCATGGCACAGCTCTCCCTCGCTCGCCAGCCCGGAGAAGGCATCTCCTCCCAAGGCTCGCTGCAGCACCGATGCTGAGCAGCTCCATTGCTGACCGACCACATGCTCCTCAGTGAGCCCCAACACTGGCCTGGAGATCAGGAGCTGGGGAAGGAAGTCACTGGCACCGCAGGGCATGGGGCAAGGCTCACGCTTCCACCAGGAGCAGAAGTCCTCCACGTGCTCCATCAGTTTCCCTGAGGTCAAGCTTGGGATGAAACACCAAAAGCTTACAGAGCAGCAAGGAAACCCCACTGCCCAAACGCGAGGGCAATATGGAAATAAAAATTAGTTTGTTCTGGGATGTTGCAGAGATAAGTCCCTTATCTCCAGAGCGGCACCTAAGCATTTACACCCAGACAGGTATAGGATGCTGAGGAGAAGGCTGATAAGAGATGGGTTCCACATCCCCAATCCACAATGTGCTTGTCTAAACTCATCTAGAGGGTCCTCTACAGCACAAAAGGACAGGAAAAAACTAGTCACAAATTGGCCAGCTTGGGGATTACGCACGCAAAGCCTCAGACCTGCATTTATTCACCAGGGGTAGGCGATGAGGAGAGAGACACTGGGCATAATAGGAAATCGTGTCACCTGCTCCCTGCAGCCAGCATCATTTATTTTCATTCCATCTTTCCCCCCCGGCTCTGCATGCCCTGGGAAGGCAGTTGCAGGAGTCGGATTTCCCTGGGATCCCACCTGCGCTCGCTGCAGCGCTTCTCTCCCAGGCAGGCTTTAATTAGATGGGGCCCAATAAACCATATGTCAAAATGGGTGATTTCACTTTTAATTACATTTTCCAAAAGGTAATAAATAGCTCCACTACAGGGAACACAAGCAGCCAGGCGCCTGCTGGTGTTGTGTCGTTTCACTGGGCACTCAAAATCTTTTTTAAAAAGGGGGGTGCATCCCCTGAAATGACACTGGGACTTGGAGCATCAGAAAAAGGGGGTGTCTCAGTCTAAAAGTAGGCAGGACTCACATGTCGATGAGCCTTTTAAGCAACTGGGAAAATCACAGCCTTTGCGCAGGGCTGGGGCTCACTCAGGCTGATTGCTGCCCGGCACAACTCGCAGCCAGGCCAGGGAATCACATTGTCATACAACACCTTTAGGAAGTTATCCTCACAGACACTGAGGGGAGAGGCTACCTCACCTCCTCCTGTTCTTCTTGCAACCCGCAGCCCAAAGGTTTTGACCCTTTTCAGCAGGTGAACCTGGCACCCCACTTCTGGTTGTGCTGCTGGATGCAGCCACGTGAGCAAGGAACAACCCTGACCTTGCCTGCATGCCAGCAGCCCTTTCACCTGCAATTAAGTTTGTGCCCAGACAATACACAAAATCGTTCTCAGACCCTTCACTGATAAACAAAGTTTCATTCATGTTTTTTTTTTTTTTCTCCTGGTCTGTGAAATCCCCATTACTCCCCGAGAGATGAATACACATAAATCCTAAAAACTAACCCGACAGATGGGAAGCAGTATAATGAAGGAGCATTACTTCTTACAGAATCTCAAGCTTTCTCCTTGGGCCTCTGAAGAGCTGGAAAACAAGGTCAGTATAAATAATTTTGTATCCCAAAGCTGTTTAATGAAAACATTCCTCTGTTTACCAGACTGCTGCTCAGCCGTGCTTGCGCTGACATCCCCCTAATTGGGGAGCAAGAATGTCAGGGTGGCTGCTTGGCACCGAGCAGGATTTCTGGCCAGAAATCCAGGTCAGATCAAATGTTGCATTTGCTGGGGTTGGACTCCTTTTTTTTCCCATATTAGGAGCCTCCCCTTCAAGCCAAAGTATTGCATGTGAAAATAAATATTAGTGGCGAACGTCAAGTGGGAACTGCAACCCCCAGGGGAATTCTTCTTGAAAGCTGGGTTAGATCTGTATCAAATGCATGCTCCTGCGTGTGCTCCTCCCATACCTTGTGGTCTTGGGGTGACAGGGATGGCCGCCTACAAAACCCAAACGAGCTGACTTCATTTCTGCCACCAGGTAACGGCGCTCAATGACCATGACCGTGCAGATAACACGGCCTGCCCTTGCAAAAAGAGAAATAGGATTTGCACCATAGATCCTGACCAGTGAGAGTCACAGACCTGGAAAGCTCCTGAGAAATGAAGCCCAGCAGCTCTCTCGCCCTCTGTGCTGATGCCACTTCAAGGTGGTTTTCCCCCTTGTGCACAGCTGTGCACAATGGAGGAGACACGTCCCCAAGCATGGGCTCTTATTCCTGCCCAAGCCCTCCTGAAATATTTCATCTTTTCCACCTCCTCAACTTTTAAGGTACCTGAGTAGCTTGTAACTACCTACAGCTATAGTTTATAACCATATGTAGCTTGTAATTATACCCAGCTGTAAGGGCAGGTACAACACACGCCTTCAGAAGCATCTAGCAACGGGGAGACGGGATTTTGAGGCCAGGCTACATTCAGTTTCCCTAAATAACATTATTACTGCACTTGGATGTGGCATTTTTAAGCCCTAGTCTCTAAAGGAGCACATGGAGAAATGCCTTCAGGTGCAAAAGCGCCGAGTTACACACCTGCACAGATCCCTGTGGTGGACATCAGCACTATCGGCTTCTTCATCTCTACCTGAGAAATACCTTCATGTTTCATAACCATCACTTACACGTCTGACTAGCTTCCAATCTACAAAGTAGCTCAAAATCCAATTATTTTACACTTTAAAAGAAAACAAAAATGCACAGCTCACATTAGGCATGAAAACTCATAGCCAAAAGTACAGCCTGGTGGGGAAAAAGGGGATAAATACACGTTTTGCTTAACCAGTGACAATGGGTAAATAAACTTAGCCAAATTTTAACCATCCAATTTCCAGTTATGTTAAATGACTACGAAAGCACCCAAATGCCTGATATTAATGGTTTTCTAGTTCGTGTCATTTTTTTTTGTTCTTTCCCCATGCATCACCTTATCTAATTGGTCACCCAATTGTCCTTTATCTGGTTGGGAAGGCGTCCCCCCCTCCCAGAACAAAGCTGCATAAAAATCACCTCAAGCTTTCCTCTATTTATGTTGCACTAGAGCCTAAACTGGCCCCAGATCACCTCTTTCTCTGAAGATTTATTAAAGTGTGAAGTTTTAAAACTCCAGTTGCAGTGCTACAGGAGTCTGCATAAGTCATTGCAAATGCACAGCACACACAGAGCTCCCCTCGAAAACAGCCACAAAAATCTATTCATCTTCCGTGGCAGGAAACCTCAGACAGTCAGGGTCTGGGTGTGCTTCAGACCAGCATCCCATACCTTAATTACCGGCACATATCTTGTAGCATCCACCCCTTCCACACGTACAATTTCCCTCAAATGTTTCCTTACCAAGACATGCTGAAGGCTTACCTGGCCTCTCGCTGTCCTTTTCATGGAAGAGGGGAGGAAAAAATCATTCTGGTATTTCCAGTTGCTGTCGCCAGGAGCAGGGGACAGTATTCCTTTAGCATTTTCCACTGGCAAATCTTTGAAAAGATGAACCTTGTGGTCCCCTGAGGTCAGACCTCTCCATCCTAAGTGTCCTCCCAGTACCTGCAGCTCTTGCAGTTGAAGCAAAAGGAGGCAGAGGAAAGTTTCCTTTCCTGGACTCTTCATATCCCGCAGAGAACATGCTGTTAATGCTGACAGGAAAAACTGCTGCTCTCAAAGGGAAATCCAGTCCTCAGCTCCATCAGTAAAGAACAAGAGAGCAGGATTTGACGTGGCATGTAGAAAATCCCCATCATCTGAGTTAGACAGAGCCATTGGCAGCTCTTTTCTCCCTAGTTTTGATGGCTCTCAGCTGTTGTCACACCTGGAATGAAGTCAAACGCATGTTATCCTGCTGTGCAAAGTCATTTCAGCTTCTATAATAAATCAAGGGCATTAGCAAACCCGTACACAGGCTGCAATAAAGAACCAGTCTGTATTTAACATGAAACAACTTCCAGCTGAGATTGATTGTGCTCCTTTTTATTTTTCAGTGCTTCATTTTAGGCCAGCTCATCCCCTCTTCCTTCCAGGCCTGCTCATGCCAAATGCCAGCATCTGCTCCCCGGGGAACTGGTCTCACCTGGGTTGGTCCTACCCAGTTTGTTACTCACCTGGAGAAGCCAGCACGTGGCTTTGTGTTTTTAGAAAAGTCATTCTCAAAACCCTCCTGGCCAACCCCAAAGCACTTCTCTCACACCAGCCATGTGGCTTATAGGAAAGCTATACTGACACCACCCCCCAGCATAAAAGACAATTACATAAAAAGAACAACTTGTTCCTCACACATCCACTGCTGCTGGAGCAAGGAGGAATGCACTTGGATTACGGCATGGAAGATGGTGGATGGGCATGAGGAAAACTCCTCTAGCAAGGAGCAGGGTGGGAGATGGGTCAGGGAGGCTGCAGGAGCTCCATCACTGGGATTTCCTGCAAGTGGGCTGGATAAAATCAGCTCATGGAAACACAGGGTCTGTGCTGGTCTGCTCTCTCCTGCTTCCTGTGCAGTATCGTGCCTCTGGGCCTTTTGACGTGGTCCTGTGCTCCAGGGATGGCAGCTGTTTAGAGGTGATTCCAGCTGTTGTGGGCATCGTTTGAAACAATATCGTAAACCAATTTCCATCCAAACCAGCTTTTACACATGCTCACTCCTCTCCACAAGTCACACGCTGTGGAGCTGCAATAGTTCCTTGGTGCTTCCAGTCAAGTTAGCCTGGAAAGTTTGAGTGAACCCTTTCAGGAAGTTTGGAGAATAATTAATTCGGCACATATTTAAAAAAAAGCCAGAGAAACAAAAAATCCCGAAGGCTGCCATTTCTGCAGTCGAGAAAAATGTTTCATTGGCGATCTAACATCATCTACAAAGAGCTGTGAAAATACTGTGCAGTTCTGAAAAATGGGGACTGATACACCGTAAGCTGCTGCTGCAAGAGGATGACGAACGCCTCCCCTTCAGGATGATGGCAGCAGTCCTATATTCTGGCTCAGGCCTGAGTATTTCAAACGAGTTGAGAAATCTGCTGCACGAAATAAAATTACAAATGAAGGACTGAGGAAAGTCTTGACCTTTTTATGTCCGTTTTTCTGTGAAATTTTGTCAACTTTATTAGAGGTAACTTCCTGCATTCACAGAAAGCTCCTTTTCTTTGTTAATACCCCAATAAGTCTGCAGAACTTTGTCAGAGCCAGAACTGCTGAAGAACTGCTTTTAACCGTTTCCTTTCTGATAAATGCGATCACCTGCTCACGTGCATTTATCGTAAGTCAGCCGAAATCTTTTGCCATCTCTTCACAGGCTGTGTCCCCACTGCAGTATGAACAGTCACGTAACCAACTGGTGACAGCAGGAGATGCAAACTTCGAATAGGTTGACTGTGTCATCCCAAGTCCTAGCTCCATAGCACTAACTTTAATTGCCAGATATTTTCCACCTGCTCCTCTAAAATTTTGTATGAATATACAGAAGATTTCCACTATGAAGTAGCTTTCAACACCATATGGGAGACTAAGTTATTCCCATTTCAAAGATGAGTCTGTGAGACCAAGAAAAACAGCTTGTTGACACTTGAAAATTGACTGGAAGAGCTTTTCTGGATGCTCTTAAACTAGAATAAGAAAATAAATTAAGTCAAGTTAAAATAAATCAAGTCTTCTTCCATATAATGAGGGCTATTGTATTTTGCATTCAGTACATCAGTTATAATGGATGTACTCCTAGATATACATGTAGATGAGTCCTCCAGTTCCCAGAGGCAATGGTTGCACTTTCACTGACTTGGTGTCAAGCTTTTGACAAAGGAACTGAAGGGCTGCAACCATGAGCCTTTGGGAGAGCTTCCAAGAGGCTGGTCCCCATACCAGAAACAGAGATATCCTCTGTCCTGCAAACAGGTAGGAAGAGCTGCTTGTCTCAAAATGAGATCCTTTTAAGCATCACACCAAAGGGCAGCTGCCCCAGCTCAACAAAAGGAACAGGAAACCTGCGCTGGGGAATGATGAGGATGGAGGTATCTGTCATCTCGCCTCGCCATAGCTCCATGCTCCTGGGATTTTGTCTTGCTTGAGATTCACTCCTCAACATAGCACTTCCATCCTCCAGTTTAAGAATTTGAGCAGAGTAACTCTCCCTTGCAAAGGAGAAGAAAGAAGCTGTCATTCAGTATCTTACCGGTTAAAGCATTTTTGCCCAATATGAGACCTAATTTCAACCTCTGAATGAAGATCAGATGCATCTTTTCGGTACATTGTAAGAGTGAAATTATCACTCAAGGATAATTCATCCAGGAGAAAAGGTAACTTTCACGATGCAGCCTCCATCACTCAGTGAGACTTGAAGTTATCTGAGGATAATAACTTGAACATAAGTACTCATCATCCAGGCAAATTATAATAAAGTTCGCAGAAGGCTGAGAAGCTCAAAGATGACAAGATGAGCAAGACTGTGGTGCCCAAATCCCTAATAGGCTTTCGTACATCCCACCTACAGCTTATCATAGAAATACCCTATGGAGACTGTAAGCACCGTGTAGGTTTTCTAGCATTAACACTCCCCATTTTAACCACTTGTTCAACCATCAGCAAGGACAACCCCTTCAAACCTCATTTATATGGTCTTTGACCACCCTGTTGGAGACTTTCTTGACAGAGTTGAGATCTTTCCCCCTCTAAAGAGCCCCACAACCTTAGAGAAAAGCTCTCCCTCAGTCCCAAGCGATGCACAGCACCTCAGGGCCACCTCCCGTATGCTCAGCACCTGCCTGAAGTCAGACGCCAGCATTCACCACACACCTGTGATCGCTCCTGTCACAAACAAGATGAGCCTTCAAAATTCTTGCCAAGCACGAACGAGACAACACTGATAAAATACCAACATTAGAAACTGGCTCTGCAATGACCACCTCACATGTGAGACAAAAAGCAGGTGGGGGAGAAATCAGCCAGCAAAACCCGAAGAAAATGGAGCAGTGAATGGCCAGGAGGAGCATCGGATGGCAGAGGGGCGCAAGGAGATGGCCCCAACCCTGACACAGCTCTGGGCAGTGCTATTAGCCCTGGTGCTTAATGAGCATGAAGAACACAAATGAGCAGGCTGGCAGTGGGACGCGCGGCCTGATGGAGCAGCAAGCAGGTGAGCTCGGCTGCTCCTTACATAAGGACACATCTCATGCCTCGGTGCGGGAGGGAGCACAATTTTTTTCTGCCAGAGAGAGTACTCCGTGAGAAATTACAGGTGTGTTTCTCATGCCCAGAGAGAATAATAATGGTAGCTTTGGAATTCCTGAATTAGGCCAATCATTCATCCAGGCGGCAAAAAAAAATACAAATCCTGCCTGACAGGCTGCCACCTGAAACCAGAGGCAGGCTCTTGACCTAAAACCAGCCCTCTCCAGAAAGGCTGCTGAAGAAGGTAAAAGGAAGCTCTTTGTTTTTGGAAAGACTTTTTTTTTTTTTAAAAAAAGATATTAAAAATGATATTAAAAAAAGAGGACGACAAACCACATGGATCTTCAAAACAGCTGCATGACTGTTAGGGCAGCGTAATGTGAGGGGTTTCCACAGTACAATCAGAAAAGGATTGTGTCTTTGCTATCTACACACACATCAACAGAGTTCCTCTCCTAAAGCGCTCGCAGAGGCATTAGAATACTATCTGAAGGCCTAAAAGTGAAACGGGGTTTGAGTTTTTCTTTTCATCTCCCCACAGCAGAACTTCGATGTACCTGGAAAATATTGCATCACCAGAGTTTCGTTTCCCCTTCTACTTCTTCAGCCACAGCTCTAAAGGCAGGGAAAACACTAGATAGCAATCAAAAAGGAGAAATAAAACCATGGAAGAAAGGAAAATCACAGGCAGTAATTAGGCTGTTGTTAGTTTGTGTTTTCCTTCTGTGATGAATGGAAAGGAAAGTAAGAGATGGAGAAAAAATTTTATGCCATTTTTTTAAGAAACCTGGGCCCTTAAAACTGCTGCACGTTTTAACCCCTGTAGAATAAAGCACCAGCTGAAGCCAACTACAGATTAATCTGCTGCAATCTGCAAACTTATTTTTCTAGCTATTTTGGTGAGTGCTGAATATAATTAGCAAGACAGCATCTGAAAGTACCCATTTCAGGTATCCTGAGCCTTGTCCATTGTGGCACAGGAGCCCTCCACTGCAGCCATACTGAACAAAGGTTTGAATGTTTTCCAGATTATTTTATTTTTTAACTGTGAGGGTTAAAACTGTTCGTGCATCTGTGCAGTGGTGTTGGTCTGCTCGATCTCCTGCAGTCCGTTTCAGCCCTCAACTTCTCTGCTTCTAACTTACTGTTGGAGCTAGGTAAAAAATTGCGTGGGGAGGCAAGGTGGCGGAGCAACTTTTGTCACTTTTTATTTATTTATTTTATTTTATTTGGTGTGTGTGTGTGAGACTAGTCTTAAAATGATTTCACATCAAAATCTCCACTAAACCAACCCAGGTCCCTGGCTGACGCCTGCACCTCTGCATACAGCAGCGCCGTAGGTCTTTCGGATGCAATAGATGTGTCGAGTCCTTTCCTCTCTGAGCACAGAGCAGGTTTTCCCCTCACTGCCTGCTCTCCCCTGTGCCTTTCATGAAACGCTGCCATACCATTGCCTCTTCTCACCCGAGAGTGCAATTGCATGCATGGGTGAATTAGCCAACCCCACCCAGTCTGCCGTGAGCAACCTTCAGCTATTAATCACCTACAGCTCTTTGGTGAACTTTGTGAAATTTGACTGTTTTCCTCCTCTCCTCAATTCAACTTTCTTGTGTGCTTGTGCCTGCCTGGGGGGAGTAAAAAGAAACCACCACTGCTGCTTTAAAATTCAACAGGGCTGCAAAACCCCAGCAGCAAACCTAACAGCACAGGGAAGGGCATCCTGCTTCTACTCTGGTGCGTGTCCTGGTCAAAGGAGGAAATTAGGGATCCACTCACCTGTGGAGCCAAGCCCAGGTCCTGCCCAAGGCGTGGTGTCTGAAGAGGCTGATGCCTTCAGGGGTGGCTCCATCTCGCCCCAGCCTTTGGGACTTGGCATCTGCCAGCTGCTGGTCGAAGTACAGCCATGGTGCAGATGGACATAGGTAGACCTCTTCATTATCATGTTTTTCATCAGGCTTGCCTGCAGGTAAAAGCAGAGGCTAATTATCAGATGAACACTGATCCAAAAAATAAGCCTCCACTGGGAGACTTACACAGCAGATTATACTGAGAAACCGCAAAAA